GACTGACAGTTTGATCAACCAATCATATATTGATTTGTAGCCAATGGGCGTATTCTTTCAGAGTTCCCCTCGGTTCCAGGGTATTCTAGAAGGCCCGCTAGTTAACTGGCTCGAGACAGAGGATCTAGATCAGGGGTGCCCAACCAGTCGATCGCGGGGAGATTCCCAGTCGATCGCGAGATGTGTCTAAAAATAGAACAGCAACATTCTGTTGTATCGTTAATGTCCTGTAACATAATCTTCCTGTGCAGAATAATGCACATGAACGCATCAAAGCTTTGTGATTGGCCAGCGTGACCCCATGTGTCGGGGCGTGGCTGGTGGGCAGTATTTCGCTGACGTTGTCCGTGGCAACAGGAGTGACAGTCCACACACACAAGACCGCAATTATGGCAGAAGCAAAAAAGCCCAAAATATATAATTTTCACTCCGAGTGGGAGGATGAATATTTTTGTATCTATTCCAATTCAAAGTCCATCTGTCTCATCTGCAATGCGAGCGTGGCTTTATCGAAGAAGGGTAATTTAGGAGCGGCATTTCAAAACAGTGCACAAACGCTACGAGACGGAATTCCCTCCTGATTCTGCCCCACGCTCCCAAAAGGGGAGGGGCCTGAAAGGACAGCTAAATGCACAGCAGTCCATTTTCACCAGGCCCATCAACAAGAGCAAGGCTGCTACCAGAGCATCTTATCGTGTCAGTCACGTTCTTGAGAAACACATGAAGTCTTTCAAAGACGGCGAAGTTGTGAAAGAAGCATTCCTGGAGGCTGCCGATGCGCTTTTGGGGGACAGTAAAAATAACAGTAGCATTTCAACAGGTTTTTTTGAACTTATTCATTATAATTATTGTACAAAATGGTATAAGAATGCAAACATTAAGATCTGTTCTGTTTAAATTGATTATAGTCTATTATCAATTCAGGTTAAGAAACTAGTGTTGCTTGCATCCTATTTTAAAAGGCATTTCTTTTTATACTCTACTAAAATGCATAAAAAAGGGTTTGATTCTATTAATTTTGTCTTTTTTATTGCACTGTTGCAGCAGATTCCTGTGCAGCTTCAGATCTGAGTTGTCTTATTAGTAAGCCTAATTTATACTTTTGTAGCAACACTATTTTTATATAATGGCAAAGAAAGGGTTCAGAGTATTTTCTTTTTTCCCTGTGTCATATGTGGCAGCACTGTTCAATGTTTCTTGAAAACATTACCCACTGTAGTGACGTGTGAATAAACTCCAACTCTGTATCAACAACACTGTTGTGTAACTTCAGTTAAATACTTGTATGTGTGTAGATTAGAAAGAGGTAAGATAAAGGATCTGCAGTATTTTATGAAGTATTAATCGTACAAAGGTCAGTTTTCTACAAGTAGAAGTGTGTATTTACCTGGTAGTAGGCTGTCAGTAATGGCTACGCCTCTCTATTTGGACTGGTAGATCTCGGCAGACTGGCAACTTTAAAAGTAGCTCTCGGTTCAAAAAAGTTTGGGCACCCCTGATCTAGATGAATGCGACGAAGCAATTCATGCCGTTTTATTGTTTTTAACGTTGAAATGACAAGTGCAACAGGTGAAGATGAAGTTGTTGCGGGGGTTGTGCGTGTCTACAGAAGGTCCAGTTGTGATAGACACGGTTCGCCACTGGTTAAATCAGACTTTAGTTCCACCTGGAGTAAATCCACAAGGTAATTTTGACTACTCAAGACACCTGACTTATACATCTTCAAAGGAAGACTGTGTTCATTCTAAAATTACATGGGATTAAAGCAAAATGTAGTTTTACTTGTATAATACTTCAATTTTATATAAAAGACAGTTTGTTTTCATCTGTTTTCAAATAAACAAAGTATTGGCTTTCAGAATATTAAACTTGTTTCGGCAAATTCAGATGATAAATACAACTTTGAAGCTTCGGCATAATTACAAGCAGAGAACGGACTAATGTAACATCACAGCAAGCAAAACAACAGCCGGTGTTTCTTATGAGTGTTTCCCCGGTATACAAACGCAAAAATACACACACACTCACGAGCTTCCCCCAGACCAGTAATACAAACGAAAATGTGTCTTCGGGTCAATGTGACTGATTTCGATAGAGCAAGTTACATTTGGTTTAGGGACGAAACATACTACCAGTAGAAATACATTGCTTTCAAAATCGCTCTGTGTCGAATCAATAGATTATATTTCGTGACTATAACACGAAATGCCGTGAGTGCTTCATCCTCTGAACACTAGTGATGGAAATTCCGGCTCTTCTTGGTGAGCCGGATCCAGGGCCGGACTGGGACAATAAGTCAGGCCGGGAATTATACACCCAGCCAGGCCACTACCAGTTTTATTTGTCAATTTTGACAGCGTTGCTGCCCATAGTGATAGCCCTCTAAATCTACTACCCAAAAATAAACATATGGACATGGGTTACTATTTAAAAAAATGTGCAAATCTATTTAGGAACCTATGTGAACATATTTTAAGTGGAGGTGGACCTCAAATCCTATAGGGGGGTCGGGGGCATGCTCCCCCGGTAAGATTTGTTTTAAATGTTGGACTTAAATGCATCAATCTGGTGCATTTTGAGGGGGAAATAAAGAGACTACACCCATATGAAACAGAACTGTATACATTTAAATAATCATAAAAACATGGCCATAACCAATAACATACCATATCCAATATGAAAAAACATTGAAACTTGTTTATTTATTTGTTTTTGGTTCATTTATAGTTGTGAGTGTGTCTGTGCTCTCAACAAGTTTATCTTACCTTTTTTCACCTAGTTAACATTTTTTTTGTATTATTCATGCATATTTTACCAATCACTCCCCCCTCAAATGGAAATATGTGTTTACATAAATGGTGACCAAACCCTTCGAGACCCACAGAGATAACTTAGACTAAGTTAACTATCTAAACACTCGGAGAGTCCTTTACCTCACCTGAGCTGTAGTTATCAGTCTCTCACCCGGCCACACGAGGACGAAAACGGCCGTTTGCGTTACTGTTTAGTGTCATATAGACCATTCGGCCATACGAGGACGACCGAATACGGCACTAAACGACTGAGGAAACGATAACGGGTCCCAAGGTGGATAGAATGGCATACGCAACGCTCTGGGGGGTCCAACGGCTCCGTGTGTGCGCCCTATACGATCATTTTCTGATAATGATTGCGCAATAGCCCCGCCTCTCCCCACATCTGCTGCTCACCTCCGCGTACCCCGCGCCATTGCTGATGTGTTCCGTACGGTGGCCGGCAGGTGCAAACGCGGAACAACGGCCAAAAACAAATACATTAGCAGGAAACAGCTGCAAATCCTGAAATGAAAAACAAACAAATCCTGAAAACAAATACAACCAAAAAACGCTGCATTTACAGAAATGATGCAAACTAAATACAACACACAAACCCCGAAAATAAACGCAACAAAAAAACGCTGCAAATACCAAAACGACATGCAAAATCCAAAGCACATACAAATCCCAAAACACATACAAAAAAAAAACATTCCGGAAGACATAGAGGGAACGAACAAGAGTGCTGCAAATTGAAGCCGGAGGAAACGAAGTTGATCGAAGTGGAAAAAGACGATATATAAAAAGGTAAGTTTTGTTTTGATACAAAGAGCGTCATATTTACCCAGCTAGCGTTAGCTTGTTTGGTGAAAGAGCTTGCAAGTCAAGAGACAGCACTGTCTGTGCACCTAAATGTAACTCTTGACATCATATAGATATATTATAGGTGCAGAGAGGAGTTGGTTTATTGTGCTTCAATGTAAATCCTAATGTGAGAGTTAAAGGACGGTCAACAATATAATGTACCTTGGTCAGTTTGGATTTATCGTGGCATTTATTCTTAATTAAAGTGAATTTATTTTATTTCAGTCAGTCATTTGTGTGTTGTATGCAGGTGTGGGACATTCCAAATGTTCCAAAAGTGAGCACTCCACGAATGGACAACAGTTTGCAGGGTAAAATAAAACATTGTCAACATATTATTTTGTGCCACAAGAAGCAGAATGTTTTAACAGTACAGTAGTTTGAATATATTTGTTGTTAACCTTTATCAGACCTCTCAGGCACCCACAACCAGCGTCTGATCAGGTAAGACTAATTACAAATGTAATTATACCATGTAGGTTTGAATTTGTGAACATGAAATCAATAAATACCTTTGTGTGCACTTATTTCCTGGGTAAAAATAGGATGGAGCACCAACCCCATTCCAGGAAGAGGTCCAGTCTGCCCCGGGTCAGAACCACTTCTACAGGTAAACGAGGTTGACAGTTGCATCGTGACACAGTTGTTTGCTGTGTATCTTTATTTTACATTTGTTTGTTTGTATAGCCTCCAATCACAGTGGGTAACATTGCCAGGAAGCAGAACAATTATACTTTTATACATTTCCAAATGACACCCACAACATCTGACATCTTAGTGAAGACAATACAAAAAACACCCACAAATATTTTTCAAAGATCAGATATTTTTTGTTGCATCCATTTCAAATGTTTACAAGGATTGTGCAGGAGTATGACAAAAGTGCTGTTGTCAGTTTAGAACCCAATGTATTGAAAAAACAGGAAGAGGATCGACATCCTTTTGTAAATATGACTGTCATGCATATATTAGGTATTTGAAAGTAATTATTCAACTGTCTTCTCACTGCAGCAACTACACAACTGTGTATGCACTTATCATTATTGATAGCCAGTCTGAGCCAGAAGACACAATGGAGCAAAGGTATTAATTGTTACTATTACCACTTAATTTTTCTATTCTATTCTGTAAATCTTATTACTAGCTTCATCATTTAATATTACAATACATCACTTTGTCTTTCCCAGCACAGAATACCTGACTGCGGCACACATTGTTGCAGAACTCTCTGCAAAAATAACAAATACATCTTGCAGCAGGTTCAATATTAATAGAGCCAGTGTGTGCGATGGAGCAATCCGCGGCTTCAAAGGTGCCTCATTCGATCCCTTTCATGAGATGTCAGTTAAGTTCACTGATGATGAGGGACACACTGAGGATGGAGGGGACAATGGTGGTCCCAAGCGTGAGTTCCTGACCCTCCTTATGGAATGCCTGAGAATGAAGAAAACATCACGTCAGCAACTGTTTGTGCCCCATGGTGGTGTGACTTTCCCAGCCGCTCACTGTCTCAAAATCTGATTCTAAATGTATAATGTTCTCTATAAAGATAGAACTAATACACAATTATGAATGTATAATATAAGCTGTTTTGTGTATTTAATCATGCGTTGGTCTACAATTTAATGATGGCTTCTACATATTTCACATAAACAGACAATGAAAAAATGTGTCCTTCATGCTGATAACTAGTGATACGCATCTGCCAATTCGTATTCTAAACAGAGTAGTGTGTTGAATCCTTATTTCTTGCATTTGAAACAGATACAATAAAAAAAGTGAACTTACTGTTGTGTTCAACTTCTGCCACAAACTGTACATGTTTGCCACAGGAGCCACAGAACACTTGAACTGTCCCCAGATGCTGGCCACAGAAAGGACACAACATGGCGGCCTGAAAAGACATACATTGATGTAGTAAATCCATTTAATCAAGTTCATCAAAAACACATAGTCTAAATAGTGGTTAGCTAAATAAATAGAAAGATACATCATGTTTACCGTTGAATCTGTGTTCTCTCTCTCCTTGAATGTCTCTATATTTGTTCTTGAGCATGTCTAATGCACACTACTCTCCTGTCATTACTTTGTCCCTCTTCACATGTTGTCACATCTCTCTCAATTCAATAGCTTTATTAGCATGACCATAGTTACAGGTAATTGCTAAAGCTCTGTATAGTTGCAACATCTATACACAAATATATACATATAAACAAACTGCTAAGAATTCAAATGTCCTTTTTCCGCGGTACTCACTATGGCCCGTGTTATTTGCCTGCACTTGATTTGTCATCTCTTTTAAAAATGTTCTTCCCTCACTTTATCTTCTCTTCACGTGAAGCTCTCCTCTCCTCAGCTGGTGTAGTAGTTAGGCACACTAACGCTAGCTATATAATATGACGCTCTATGTATTAAAACAAAACTTACCTTCTTATATCTTTCTCCACTTAAATTAACTTTCTTTCCTCTCGATTTCCATCACTCTTGTTCGTTCTCTCTATGTCTGGTCAGACATCAATCTGTTCGACGTAGCGCGCCCCCTAGAGGCCTGGAGCACTTCCGGAATGTTTTTTTTGTATGTGTTTTGGGATTTGTACGTGCTTTGGACTTTGCATATCATTTTGGTATTTGCAGCGTTTTTTTTGTTGCGTTTGTTTTCGGGGTTTGTGTGTTGTATTTAGTTTGCAACATTTCTGTAAATGCAGCGTTTTTCTGTTGTATTTGTTTTCAGGGTTTGTTTGTTTTTCATTTCATTATTTGCAGCTGTTTCCTGCTTATGTATGCGTTTTGGGCCGTTGTTCCGCGTTTGCACCTGCCGGCCACCGTAGTTCCGCCACCAACAACAACAACAATGGCGGATCGCAGAGTTGCTATCGTGCTCCGGACGCCATGCTACAGTTCTTTGTGCAACATCTACAGCAGACTTACACATCCGGGCAGTGCTTGAATTGGAATGAAAAAGGTGCCAGTACTCTAAAATCAGCAACTTTTTCAAGTCAATTTTATATATACAGCCCACAAACAAGAATTTGGCTACTATAATGCTGGTGGGTTTGTCTCTTTACTACTGTATATTTTAGAAAGGTTCACTGTACTTAACATTTTTTATGATAGGCAGCGGATATGGCTAAAGCTCAGTAAGGTCAATATGAACTGAAAATATAGCAATCAAAGTCTAGATCTTCTGCTGAAGACACATGAAGCAGAGACCTTTCAGGTGAGAGCCCCTCTGGTGGTGTTCAACATTAATGACAAGGAAACAAAGCTCTGGTCAGAAGCATTTTTTATAAAAAGCTTTAACAAAATTAAGTATTTCTGTACATTTTGAATGCAATCTAACTTTCCAACTCAGAAAACGAAAAACGAAAAAGTGCCAAAAGTCTTCTCACATGGCTGAGCTGCTTTGCAATATACTTCACCACTGAAGAATACAAATATGTATAAAGTAAACTATGATGCAATCTAACTTTCCAACTCAGAAAAATGATAAAGAGCATGAACAAAGAACATGTAAAAACAAATGCAAAATTTGCACAATCTAAAATGAGAAACTGTAACTGCAAGTAACAAAGTCTGAGCCATGGTAAAGAGTTACATTGAACACCAAGCTGATCAGATAACTCCCTGGTTGGTCTGAAGTCCTTCTATCTCCAGGATCTGTACAAATCGGCACATTATGCCAAAAGTCTTCTCACTGGGTGAGCTGCTTTGCAATATACTTCACATTGTTAGAAAAGGCTCCAGAAGGCCTTGGGGACATCAGTATCAGGGGCTGGAGCTGGACAGGCTCTTTCATCAGCACTTCTCCTTCCCTTTGCCAGCCAGGACCTCACATACTGTTCCGGATTGAACTGTCCTAGTGATGGTCCATTACATTTAATGAAAACCAGGCTGGACAGTCGGCTGACAGAGAGAGCATTCCTTTTTGCAGTAAGGATATCGTTCATGCAGCTGAATGCCCGCTCACACTCACTAGTGGAGACAGCGATGGTTCGGACTGCTTTCAGTAGAGGCTCCATGGCAGCAGGTGTACGGGATGCCCTGGTTTCCTTGTATTCGCGAAAGCCCTGAACAGTCTCTCTTCTGTCCACTTTCAGCACTTCGCACAAACGTAGCACCTCTACGTCCCCATACTGTACGTCTAACTCCTCTTCAGGCCAACTTCCAGGATGGATAACTTTCATGTCCTGGATTAGCTGATTGTCCCGGGCCTCCCGGCCATGTAATGGGATTTCTCTTGTGCTGACATGAGAGGAGGTTGTGGAAGTCATTCTGTGTCTCAGATTCTCTACCATACTGCGGAAAAACTGACCTGCATGAATCTGTACAAGCCTGCCATTCTCACGCAGGGCAACACCCTTGAAGGACTTCTCAGCTAGAGCTGTATGAACTGTAGTCATGTGTGGGCCAGGCATGGTGACCATGGATTCAAAAACTCGTATTTCTCGAGTTAAGAGCCTATCTGCTGTAGGCAGTGTCATCTCTCTTTTTTGGAGTTGCCGAGAGAGGTCGCTGAGCTCTGTGAGCGCATCGTACATCAGTCCCAGATTGCTGACAAACGTTGCAGATGTGAGCACATCATCCAGGCCCTTGTACTTTGCTCTGTCTCTGGAATCCCTGCTCGTGTCGTTTGCAGCATTTGTGAAGTGATCATGAAGCACTCGGTAGTTTTCCCAGACTGCTCTGACGCTCCTTTCACTTGAAGCCACCCAGCGGATGGACAAAACACGCCCTATCACCAGGAGACGCTGTCCGACTTCATAAACGTTAGCGCATAGCAATAAGCATCAAATGACAAGTATTTACGGATTTAAACGGCCGGAAAGCTCCGGTGTGTTTCTGGCTTAGCGGCAACTTGTTACCAATGCTAATATGCGCGAACGTTACAAGACAACACATTGGCATTCATCTGTTATATTACATTATAACGGACTGTCTTGATAAGAGTAATAGCAGAGTTTATGTTACCTTTTCAAAAGCCGGTCAGTTATGATGGCTGTTCATTTACAGTGAAGACAATCCCCGCTGAATGAGACGTCATCCAATCAGAGTACTAGAACTAAGTGAGACGACCAATGGGTGGACACAAGATGTAAACGAGAATGCCATAGAAATGAACGTGAGGGGCGGGACTCTAAGTGAGACTGAGTGAGACTGAGCAGGCCCGATTATCCTCGCCGCCTCAGAGGATACTGCCCATTCTTCTCTGTGAAAGGAGGGGGGCAAGGAGAGGAAAGTGGGCCCTGCTCCGCCGAGCAGAAGGTCGGCCGTTCGATCCCCAGCTGTGGCAGAGATGAGGAAGAGCTCCCCTCTCAGACAGGGGGTTTTGGTCAATGATGATAAACTACAAAGAGTATCTGTAAAGTGCAGTGAGATAACATCTGAATAAATAAAACTGATCTGATTAAAGAAAGGTTTGTTCTACAGAGCTGTATTATGATGCATGTTATATTTGATATATATATATATATATATACATATATATATACATATTTATATATATAAATATATATATAAATAATATTGCTATAATTCTACTATGATTATCAGTACTAGTGTTGACAGGCCAGACCTGAAACAAGGCAGCTGTCTTTGACACGCCGTCTCTGTTGCAGCAGTCCCGATCCACGTAGATCAGCTGGGGGGTGGTACCCCGGCGAGTCGGTACCGCCTCATCAGTCCGGCCGCCATACTGGACAGGCCCTCTGCGCCCTCGGAGCAGGTGAGGACGCTGATGAGGACCTGCCCGTACTCGTTACCAACGTTGGTAACCCAGGCGGGGCCGTGTCGGAAGCGATACCCGGCTGAGCTTCTTCGTCACCTGGACAGGAGAGAGAGAGATATTTCAAAGGTGACCGCATAAACACACGACACGGCTGGCTGTAAGAAAAAAAATGAAATTGTGCCAAACTATACTGACCTTCTTGGTGGAATCCATCTTCAGGATGGATCCGAAGGTGGACGTGATCCTGGCCTTGTACTCATCCAGCCGCGTCATTATGTCGTAGCCGTAGACCGTCAGCAGCCAGATGGGTGAGGGCAGAGTGGGCATTGTGGGCGGTGGTGGAAACTGCCCCCTCACGCTGCACAAGGCCAGGAACTGCTCGCACACGCCGAGGTACTGGATCGCTCTCCGCATCCGGGCATCCAAATGCTGCTCCCGCAGGGTGTTACACAGCTGAGTGGCACTGTTGCCCAGAGTGCGGGACTTCAGCTGGGTAACCACCCTATGGTCACAGGACAGCCTGCAGAAACACAAAACAAGCATTATATACAGCTCCCTTCATCACATTCATTGCGTTTATTTATATATACGGTATGTTGTCAATTCCTCTCACTTGTACGTAAGTACTGCTGGGAACTGGCGGCTGTAGGTGGGGGCCAGCTGCCTGATGATGCCCTGTGACCACCCGCCGACCTTCTTCTTGCATCGAAGGCACTCCAGGTACTCGGTGGCCATGAGATACCAGCCGTCGATGTCCAGGACCCTCCGGATGGTCCTGTACAGCCCAGCCTTCACCATGGACCCGGTGCATGAAGGCTGGGGGCATGTCAGCTGCAGACGCCAGATCCGGTGTGGCATCCAGAGAAACAGCCGACATGCAAAGAAGGGGTCGGGGGACGCGGGAGGCTGGTGGTAGATCGGCCGGGATTGGGGGGGGTTCCACCACAGATTCAAGTCTGGGATGAGGCTCGGCCTCCCCCACTGGTCCCTGGTGAACAGCACCCGACCAATCCACTGCTGCTGCTCCACAGTGAGAGCTGCCCGCCAGGACACGGGCAGCAGCTGGAGAGAGAACCAGAGCAACGTAAAGGGCACTTACATCTGAGGACATCGCTCCAGGGCAGCAGATGAGCAGCGTTTGCTTTGACAGACAGTCTTACCTCACGTGGCGGAGGAGGGAGGAAGGCTGGCCCCGGCAACTCCTCCTGTCCGGGAGCAGCTCCGGGGGAAGCCGTGGCTGCGGTAGCGAGGAGGGAGCTGGTGCAGGCTGGACTACTGCTGGAGGTCGCAGGGCGTGGTCCTGTTCCTGCGTGGCCTCCAGCAGCTCCTCGTCCGTGGGCTCGCCCAGCAAAGCAGAGACACCAGCCCCCTTCTGTGGTGCCGAGGAGGGGGCGGCGGGAGGCGGATGGAGTGGGAGAGGGGCCTGTACATCTGAGGCTTAAAGGGAAATCAAAGTCAACTTTATGTCAATCTCAAAATATGTTTGTACACACAGAAAGATTGAAATACTGTTTCCCACAGCCCAGAGGTATAAAAAAGACACACAAATGTTTCATTAACATGAAAGAATTAGATGTGTGTTGCGTTAATATTGAGCCACAGAAAACTAAAACCTAGTGGAGCACAGAAGGTTGTTTAAAGAGAGAAAGTGACGACGAGACAAAACAACGGCACCAGATTAGACTTGTTGAGGGAGCGATGCAGGCAGCGAGCGGTTGGAGGGGTTACGCAGGTTTACGAGGGAGAGGATGATGAGCTTACTCTACAAGCACTCGTTAGTGAGGATCTGACAGGCGATTGGTCGGCGTGAAGCTTGGTGATTTGAGACTTGCAACAGGCGGATAGTTTTTCATTAAAGCAAACTTACCTGCCAGGTCATATCCTTCTGAGTACGGGCATATTTATAGAGCAAAATAAAGGGAGAAGGGTCACAAAGGAAGTCAAACTTTCAGTTATCAACAACATGTTGCATGAATGCTACTTGAGTTTTTACTTACACTCCTCCATGTCAACTACCGCCCTGATCAGCTCGTCATCCGAAGGCTCCTCCGATGGCTTGGAGGGAAGAGCTGATCCGAGGGAGGCTGTAATCGCAACGTGAGTGAGAAGAAAATATACAGTGAACATGAGAAATACGAATAGGGTTAAACTGTGCATTTCATTCAGGCTGGACTTGCCTGGAAATGCAGGCTTAGGGACCACCAGCTTCTTGATCTTTGCCTGCAGTTCCACGGCAGACAGAGAACGCCGCCCGGACACGAAGGCTGCAAGCGCTGAACCAAGAGGCCTATGAGACAGAACAACATCTAGAATGCACAGCATGAAAAACACCAACGTGTCTCAGTGTTTCCCACAGATATGAAATATACTTGGGCGGGTGGTGGCAAGGGGGGGGGGGGTGCGCGAAAAAAAAAAAAAGTTTTAACAACATTATTTATTGACTTTTCATTCCGGTATAATCATTTTGCGCAAAGATGGCACTGTTTGTCAGAGCACTTCATCCTTCTGGGATTTCATGAAGAACAGCTCCAACGCCTGTGTGTATGGGAATGCCTCTGGTGCTGGTCCATTAACTGCCAGTGTTTCCCACAGATCTGAAATATACTTTGGGGCAGGGCCGGACTGGGACAATAAGTCAGGCCGGGAATTATACACCCAGCCAGGCCACTACCAGTTTTCTTTTGTGCCATTTTCCTGGATTTATTTGTCAATATTTACAGCCTTGCTGCCCATAGTGATAGCCCTAAACTTTAAATCTACTACCCCAGAATAAACATATGGACATGGGTTACTATTTAAAAATGTTTTGCAAATCTATTTAGGAACCTCCATGTGAACATATTTTAAGTGGAGGTGGACCTCAATTCCTCTAGGGGGGTCCGGGGGCATGCCCCCCCCGGTAAGATTTATTATTTATTTTTAAATGTTGGACTTAAATGCATCAATCTGGTGCACTTTGAGGGGGAAATAAAGAGACTACACCAGCGCCTGACTACACCCATATGAAACAGAACAGTATACATTTAAATAATCATAAAATCATAAGTACATTGCCATAACCAATAACATACCATATCCAATATGAAAAAACACTGAAACTTGTTTATTTATTTGTTTTTGGTTCATTTATAGTTGTGAGTGTGTCTGTGCTCCTGAACCAGCCTCACCTGTCTCCCCCCCCCTCCCCCCTCTCCCCCTGCTCCTCTTTGAGGCAGCAGCAAAGACTAGTTTTAGCTCTCAACAAGTTGTAATAGTTTATCTTACCTTTTTTCACCTAGTTAATTTTTTTAAATTATTATTCATGCATATTTTACTAATCCCTCCCCTTTCAAATGGAAATATGTGTTTACATAAATGGTGACCAAACCGTTTGAGACCCACTGAGATAACTCAGACTAAGTTAACTATCTAAACACTCAGAGAGTCCTTTACCTCACCTGAGCTGTAGTTATCAGTCTCTCAGTCTGACAGGAGAGGACTCTCCTCCACCTTGTTGACAGTCAGCTCATTATATCCATTAGCGCCGCTCGCTAGCACCAGATGCTAACAACAACAAAACACGTAACCGGTGCGCGCGCTTTCTCTCGCGCACGCTCGCGCCCGCCACACATTCACACCCTCCCGAGCTTGAATGCGAGACCAATCGAGGGCTTTAGTGTATGATCTGTATGAAAGTGGCCATGTCGGCAGGCCACATCATGTAGACAGCCAGTCACCCTCTGTGAGGCAGAGTCAGACCCACATTTATACATACAATACATACAATACATACATACATACATACAAAAAAAAAATCCTCAGGCCAGCAGGCCACTTAACAGGCCAGGCCATCGGGAAACCTCCCGGTCCTCCCGATGGCCAGTCCGGGCCTGCTTTGGGGGGTGGTGGTAGCGGGGGGGGTTGAGGTGACGTGCAACAACATTAACCTTTCTGTTGGTCGCTTGTTAGCAGACCCTTCACGCGATGGCAGAGCGAACAGGAACAGGTACAGGCAGGTTCCATAATGATAGCCCTATAGTTTAAATCTACTACCCACACATGAACATATGGAAATGGGTTACTATTTTAAAAAATAAATGTATTTATTAATGTATTTAGGAACCTATCCATGTGATTTTTAGTGGGGGTCGACCTCAAATCCTCTAGGGGGGTCCAGGGGCATGCCCCCCCGGTAAGATTTTATTTTTTATTTTGGAGTTAAATGCATCAATCTGGTGCATTTTGAGGGGAAACAAAGAGACTAGATCTATGGAAACACCTATATGAAACAGAACTGTATACATTTCAATAATCATAAAATCAAGGCCATAACCAATAACATACCAATATGAAAAAAACACTGAAACTTGTTTATTAATTTAGTTTTGGTTCATTTATAGTTGTGAGTGTGTCTGAGCTCCTGAATCAGCCTCTCCTGTCTCCCTCCTCTCCCCCTCTCCATCCTCTCCCCCCTCTCCATCCTCTCCCCCTGCTCCTCTTTGAGGCAGCAGCAAAGACTAGTTTTCTCTCAACAAGTTTTAAAAGTGTATCTTACCTTTTTTCACCTAGTTAACTTTTTATTTATTTATTCATGCATATTTTACTAATCACATTACATTTCATTTAGCTGACGCTTTTATCCAAAGCGACTTATAATGACCGATTACAGGGACATTCTCCCTGGAGTAACTGAGGGCTAAGTGCCTTACTCAAGGGCACACTAGTGGTGGTGTTCCTGGCGGGATTTGAACTCACAGCCTTCCGATCTTCAGCCCACCTCACTCTCCATTAGACCAATCACTACCCTCTCAAATGGAAATATGTGTTTACATAAATGGTGACCACACCGTTTGAGACCCACTGAGAACTTAGACTAAGTTAACTATCTAAACACTCAGAGAGTCCTTTACCTCACCTGAGCTGAGGTTATCCCGAGCTTGAATGACACACAGAGACCAATCAAGGGCTTTGATTTATGATCTGTATGACAGTGGCCATGTCGGCAGGCCACATCATGTGGACAGCCAGTCACCCTGTGTGAGGCAGGCCACTTAACAGGCCAGAAGGAGGCGAGATCAGAGCAAGGGAGCGAGGGATCATTGTCTACAAGTTAATCGATCGCAGATGGCGTCGTGGTCACGGACGAATAAAAAAAAAAAATGTATTAAAAAAAAACAAAAAAACTAAATGGGTCGCGAAATATACCTGGGCGGCCGTTAATATACCTGGGCGGCCCGCCCAAGTATAGTCTACGTGTGGGAAACCCTGTGTCTTCAGAAAGGTCATCCAGGTACGTCAAACTCAGACAGCTTTAAAATAACACACGTACTTTGATGCAGTCCTCGCTCTCTGGCCAGAGACAGAGACTGTGCTGGTGGTGGTGGATGCAGCAGCAGCAACAGCAGCAGGTCTCTGTCTGTCTCGGCTCTTGGTAGCAGATGGCGTTCTCCATCTGCGTGCCGGGTGTGGGAATCTTCCTCCGGAGGTAGTTGACAAATCTACAAAAATCAGACAATTTGTCACGTGATTCTTATCAACCGAATAAGAATCCACATGTATATATATATATATATAGATATTACGACATACCGGATTTTTTTGGGGTCCACAGACTCGTACAGGCTGTCCAGGGTCTCAAATTTAAAGTCCCCGAAGCCAACAAGGGCCTGTCCCTCCTGACCAGGCAGGAGGGACAGGCCCGCGCCTCCTCAAACGCCCGGTGGAACCTGACTGCCTCCAGAAAGTCAGGGTACGCTGAGGAGTAGTGGGTGAAGGCATCCTGTAAATTCACAAATAAGGTTAAAACTGTTGTCACTCTTTTAATGGTATTGTGAATCAGACTGAAGTACTCCACCTTGTTGGCCATCAGCGGGGACTGAGACCCTGTCCTCTCTCGCTCCTTCTGGTGGGAGGCGACCAGATTAATGGCGTAGCCCACGTCGTTCTCCAGGAGCCAGTGGAAGATCTTTCCCTGGTACTGGCCGAACTGGACCTTCCACCGGCTCAGGACGAGGGTGGCGTTGGCGGTGGAGCCACCCTCGGAGGAGACGTGGGCCCAGGCCTCCGCGTCCACCTCCTCGGGCTTCTTTGCCCTGTACAGGGCTTGGCCGGCTGCTCGCCGGGGGGCGAGGGTGCTGGCTTCGGCCGTGGCCTTTAAGAGGAGAGTCCCGTTAGGGGCCCTCCGAAATACTGGATGTTCCATCTACACAGAGTTGGACTCAGTTAGACCACTACCACAAATACAATGAAGTACTTTACTGTTGGAGTCAGTACTAGTTGGACTTTTACCACAAGTAGGCTACTATGAAGTTATTTTACTGTGTACTTTTTCAGTTATTCTCTGTCAAACTCCTGTGGCAGAAAATCATTTTATCTCTCGTCAAATATAGCAGAAAACATGCAGTTTGACAGAGGATTAAAACTATAATCAGAGCCCTCTCATCGGAGCTCCGTTAGTACACACACACACACACACAGGAGCGGGACATCCTCCTCAACCTGTCCACCATAAATGCCTCAGAGCAAGGATACCTGAACCGTAGCGTCCAGCTAGCTTAGCGATAAATACACACAGCGTTGTATTGTCCTCCCCCTGTCGGCCCTAAGAGCTTCAGAGGGCGGATACCTGAGCTCCGTAGCGTCCCGCTAATGTGAAACACACACACACACACAGCGTTAGCGGGACATTCTCCTCCCCCTGTTGGCTCTAAAAGCTTCAGAGGGCGGATAGCTGGGCTCCGTAGCGTCCCACTAGCCGCTAGCTAAAGGTAAACACACACAGCAGTTCATCAGCGGTTCACAAAGTATGGATACCGTACAAACACCACGGCTAACTCAGTATGACTAATGTCGGACATAGAAGTGTCTTTGTAACAGTGTTTACACGTGTATTTGCTAATAATTAATGCACATTTTACTCACAGTGTCGCTTGATTGAAGTCACTCAGTAGAATGCCAGGTCGAAACAATGGCGGACGGAGGAGAGAATTTGGAAAGAAATCCGCCTCACTGATTGGACGCCAAAAGTTTGATTCTCTGATTTGGACCTTTATCCGCCTCCCATTGGCGAACGATTGAATCCACCCGGTGGAGGATACTGCCCATTCTTCTCTGTGAAAGGAGGGGGGCAAGGAGAGGAAAGTGGGCCCTGCTCCGCGGAGCAGAAGGTCCGCGGTTCGATCCCCAGCTGTGGCAGAGATGAGGAAGAGCTCCCCTCTCAGACAGGGGGTTTTGGTAAATGATGATAAACTACAAAGAGTATCTGTAAAGTGCAGTGAGATAACATCTGAATAAATAAAACTGATTTGATTAAAGAAAGGTTTGTTCTACAGAGCTGTATTATGATGCATGTTATATTTGATATATATATCAAATCTAACATGCATCATAATTGAGTGGCAACATATATATATATACTACATACATACATATATATATATATACATATATGTGTGTGTATCATCTCATCATCTCTACTGTGCTTATTTATACACCATGTTGTGTTTTATTGACCCGTGTTGCAGTAAAATATCAGACGTTGTGTAATGAATTCTAAATAAAGTTTCCACACAAAGTTCAGTTCAGAGTTTTATTTTAAAAATAGATTTAAATAAATAAAGACAAAAGACAATTAAAGAAAAAAGAGCCATCATTCCCCCCCTCTGGGTCCCTTTTGAGTCTTTTCATCTCCTCCCTCCATTCCTCCACAGTTTTCCCGCCGGCAGCCGCGCAGTAAGACACACCTGCAATGCGAGTGTGGCCAGTGTCGATCCTCTTGGCCTGGCCACACTTGCTGCAGGTGTACTGACCCGTCTGCTGACGGGCTTTGCTCCAGGGCGACGGCCCACCCCTTGCAGCATCAGCCTCTGCCGCCTTCCTCTTCCTGTAGGCCGTTGTCTTCGGCACACGGAGAGGAGGAGGCTGAGCAGCAGGGGCAGCCATGAGAGGGCCAGCCGGGAGCAGTAATCGAAGAGGAGGAGGAGGGGCAGCAGCCATGAGAGGGACAGCCGGGAGCAGTGTCCGAAGAGGAGGAGGAGGGGGAGGAGGAGGAGGGGGAGGAGGAGGAGGGGGGGTGTGGCCAGATGAGGCAGGCAGACCCACCCCTGAAGGTCCCGGCACCTCTGGGATGTTGTAATGGAAGGGCTGTCCTTGTCCCACCTGTACAAAGGACAGCCCTTTCGCTGGCGGGAGAGGCTGGAAAGCCACAGCTACTGCAGGGACGACGCCAGCTCCCTGCAGCAGCACAGACACCCCCCTCTCTTTCTGGCGCCGAGAGAACCTGTAAGACAAACCCAGGCAGATGTTTTTACGGAAAGAGAAACCCCAGTACGGATTACAAAACCACCAACAAAGCTGCTGGTTAAACTCACCACTGGGACAGGGTCCTCTGGTTGAGCTCAAAGAGCTGAATGTCGGTCTGAGCCATCAACCTCGGGCTGGCCAGCACTGCCTTTCTAATGGCCACGTAGTCCGTGAGGATGAGGGACCACCGAGTCCTCATGATCCCTCCGAACCGCGTGGCCGCGGGGTGGAGACGGCAGAGCTGGCTGCAAATGGCCTCTACCAGGCGGCTGGCGCTGGGCCATGTTGCAGGGCCCGAGTTCAGCCCGAGAAGACAGCTGAGTCACGGAGAGGACAGTGAGGGTTAATAGGCAGCAAATATTTAGTATAGGAAACAGGAATATTTGGAGACTCTCCTTCCCAGGACAGGAGGTGTTCTTCCCCTTCGCTGTCTTGAACCGCCCCTTCAGCTGCCTCTCCCGGTGTCTGGGAGGGTAGACGACTCGAGGGTAGACGACCCTTCGTCCACCCTCTTGTCAGAAAGCCCCTGAACGCTCCTGACTTCCAGCAGGCAGGGTTCTTACACCTTTTCCAAAGTCAAATTCAAGCACTTTTCAAGCATTTTCAAGGTGCATTTTCCAGCTTTTCAAGCAGCTTACAGCTGTTGTAAATTACATATTTATATACACATACTCAAATGATTATTTCCCTACCTCACATTAAATCAGATGTTCTTTATGCTATAAACAACCACATGTGTGTTTCGTGATAGCCTTCTACACGAGGATGAAAAATTAAAGAAATGAAAACTAAGTTTAATATTTCAAAAGGAGTGACCTGTACGTAGACTGTGTCACGATCTGTTTGTGTTGTTGTTTTGTCTTGTCTTTTTCTATCTTTGGGTTTCCTGTTTTATTTTGTAAATTCTTCACCCCCGTTTCCTGCCTGTTGCTTTCTGTCTGTTTCCCTCCCTGATTACCCGATTGTGTTCACCTGGTGCCTCTGTGTTTTCTCCTCCCTCCTCACCTGTCTCGTGTTTGTTTGATTAGTCCTGGGTGTATTTAAGTTCTGGTTTTTCCGTCTGTCTTTGTCGGTTCGTCTTGTGTTTTGAGTTATTCTGCGGTGAGTGTTCTGTTCTGTGTCTAGATATTTGTAGCCTTGAAATAAAGGAATTCTTTTGTCACTTAAGTCTGCATTTGGGTCCTGTTTCCCACACAAACTGTGACAGAACGAACCGACCAGAAATGGACCCAGCAGATGATCCATTTGAGGTGGAGCTACAGCATTTTTCCTTTGGTTTGGCTTGCTGCTGTGATTGGTGGAGTGGAGCGTCCAGTGTTCGGCAGAGGGAGGCCGCTCTGGTAGAGGCGCACCGGTTGGCTATGGAGAAACCAGACTTGGTGAAGTTCTTGCCTGGCTGGATTTTGAACTTCCTCTGGGTGTGTGATTTCCAGCCTGCTGACTACAAACGTCTCGGTGTGGTCCGTCTGGAGTCAGCCAGTGCTTCTGCCCCAGTTCCTGCTCCTGTCCAGGAGTCGTATTCCGGAACTCGTCAGGCTTATGGAGGTCCATGGAGTATTCAGGAGGCTGCTAAGAGGAGTCGTCGCAAGGCCAGGCTAGCAGCCCGAGCCCCAGCAGCCATGGTTCCGGCTCCATTACAGGCCCCAACCGCCATGGTTCCGGCTCCAGTGCCGGACCCAGCAGCCATGATTCCGTGCTCCAGTACCATCCCACATAGCCATGGTACCGTGCTCCAGTACCACCCCACACAGCCATGGATCCGTGTTCCGGTTCCTTGCCCAGCAGTCATGGTTCCAGCTCCAGTTCCGACCCCCGCAGCCATGGTTCCGGCTTCAGTACCGGCCCCGGAAGCCATGGGCTCGACTCCAGTTTCGGCTACAGGGCTGGCTCCCCAGCCGACGCCAGCTCCCCGAGTCTTGTCGGCGTACCGGCCGACTCCAGCACCTCGTCTCCTGCTGGCTCCCCAGCCGACGCCAGCGCCCCGAGTCTTGTCGGCGTACCGGCCTACTCCAGCACCTCGTCTCCTGCTGGCTCCCCAGACGACGCCAGCTCCCCGTGTCCTGTCGGCGTACCGACCGACTCAAGTCCCCTCTAAAGTTCCTACCCGAGTGCCCACTCCAGTTCCTACCCGAGTCCCCTCTCGAGTTCCCTCTCGAGTCCCCTCTCGAGTTCCCTCTCGGGTCCCCTCTCGAGTTCCCTCTCGGGTCCCCTCTCTGGTCCCATCTCCAGTCTCCTCTAAAATCCCTTCTCGAGTCCCCTCTCCAGTCTCCTCTCGGGTCCCCTCTCGGGTCCCCGCTCCAGTCACCTCTCAAATCCCTTCTCGAGTCCCCTCTCTAGTCTCCTCTCAAATCCCTTCTCGAGTCCCTTCTCGAGTCCCCTCTCGAGTCCCCTCTCCAGTCCCCTCTCTAGTTCCCCTCTCG